CCCCCAAAACCCCAAAACCCCAAAACCCCAAACAGTATGCGACTATTGAACAAACTATATTAAGAGTGCAGTTAATTTATCATAATTTAAAATGAACCAATCTGAAAACTTACTTTTTACCAAAGAAGCCTTCCCAATGAACTTGTGGCATGAACAAATCCCTGAAATCTTCGAATCCGAGGCTAACTTCAATAAAACCCCAACTATCTTCGACCAAAAGGTAAGACCACCACTCTCAGTATCCCATACTATACCCCGCTTCCCCAAAACCTCGCATTTTGTTCCTAAAACTCGGATTTTGACCACCTTTCTTCCTATCTTCGATCCTGAATACCTTATTTATACACATAGTGAGAATTACAGCTAAGCGGTGACATTGAGCTGTGGAGTGGAGTAGAAGGAGTAGAGGCAGAAGAGAGGGGGTGTGTAGGAAGAAATTGATGTGAGTGAGGAAGGAAGGAAATGGAGAAGAGAGAGGAGGAAAAGGAGGTGGGCTCTGTGTGTAGGGGTGATGAGGAAGAGAGTTTGGTACTTAAATCAAGTATGAAGGAAGATTCGCCTGGTGATTCTCTTATAAACTCAAGATTTAGAGAGAATGCTTGTACTCTTAATGAAACTCTTAAGGCCGATGAGAAAAATTTAATTTTATTATCAAATTCTTCAAAAGAAAAAACTAGAGGAGATATGGAGGTTAAGAAAGCTTTCAGACTCATCAGGAAGTTTTATAAGAACTTTTTTAAGTCCAATAATTCTGAAATAGTGAGAAAAAGATATACCAACTGAGACTCATCTCAACTCTTTATAGGAATGAGGAACATGCTACAAATAATCATGCCAGATGATCTCATTACTGATGATATAGTTCACTATACTATTGGCATTCTTGGCATTATAAAGAAGCACAAACTTGAGTGATCTGAAGCCTTGAAGCAAGAAGTTGCTGATTTCTTAGAAACATCAAGACATTTTACAATAAAAAAACTCAAGTTTTTATTAAAATCAAAAAGACTTCAAACTCTCTGAAGAGCCTTCATAACTCAAAACAATGGACCAATGACACAAATCTTACAGAAATTTGTAACTAAAACGGATCCTTCAAATAAATAATTTCTATTACTAAAATTTCTATCCTAACAAATCTCAACCTCGAAATCTTATAAAACTCAATTTAAAATAAAATTTACCTTTCCCAACTTAATAAACTAATCTAAGAATTGCTCTTAATTCCCCTCATGCCTACTTAAAATCCCAAATTTCCAATTATCTTTGCAAAACTGCCCATTCCTTCTTCTCCTACACGTCTCATCTTTGCTCTATTAAGCCAAACTAGATTCATGCTGAAGCTATTACTGGGAACCTGGGCTTGAGTAGGAATAGAGACTATAGAAGGAAAGGAGGATAGAGAGATAGGTTGAGAAAGAAAATAGAGAGAGACTGGAAGGAGCTGCCAATAAAAGATTGGGATTCGATTTTTCTGGTCAGAACTTGTGAAATTGAGAGAATGTAACTGATGGGGAAAAGGAGGATAGAGAGGATTATAATTTGGTAATGAGAGTTTGAGAGGTAGTATTTGAGGTTTGATATGGGTTTTGAGTTTTTAGGTTGTTATTTTCATTCATCTGATAGAGTATTTTCTGATTTTAAAATTACCTCAGAAAATTCATAATTCCTCAATTATTCAAGAAAACACTATATACCCCTTTCAAACCCTCTTAAAACATTTCCTCCTACCTCCTTATCACCTCAATCACCACCCTACTATTCCAACTCCTCCCTAATCCAAGCAGTTACAGACCCCTAAACCTCCTAAACCCCCTTAAATCCTTCCCTTCTTAACCCCTTTGGCCCCTTTGACTCTCTAGCTCCAAAACCTCCTTTTCAGCTTCCATCTCTGTGTTCTGTCTTTCAAGTTCTTCCTCTCCTGATCGCTAGACTAACTTCAAATTTTGAATTACTGCTCAATATTCCTTGTAAACATTCAATCCCGCTAGTATTTTAGGGGTTTTGGGGTTTTGGGGTTTTGGGG